TATATTGATTTTAAAATGTTCATTACTTGTTTCAAAAATGTAATACAAAAAAGTGTCCAGAAGGCCCTAAATAATATTCTTATCTTTGATATTATATTATTATTTAGATATACTTTTATGTAACATATTAACTTATAAAAAAAAATTTTAATTATAGTCTTTAACTATAAAACAATACTTACATCTGCATTAAATTGTTTAATTTCAGTTAACAAACGTTGTCTTCGATAGTCCCAGTTCAATACATGGACATCAGACCAATCATATAAAAAAGCATTTTTTTCTAGTAACTCTTGAGCCAGTATATTATATGATAGCAAACTAAAATTAAATGACTTGTTATTGGCTAAAATATAAAAATAAAGTTAAAAAATATTAAACACTTGTAACTAGAATAAAGTAGGGAATTGTAAATTGTTCGGACTTACACTCATGATTGTAGTGCACAAAAGGTCTAACATAATTCATATAATCCATCAAGTTTGAGCCTGAAAATTGTTTTTTTCTATTTAAGAGATGATAGATGTTTTTTAAATATAAAAAAGACTTACTGCATGACTGTTGTGGAAAGACGGCAGGCAAAATTATTAATTGGACATARACGACACAGCAGACATATTTTACTAAATTCTTTTGTAATATACATAAAAGTAACATTAAAAATATAAATACTAAACAATAATATTTGAATATAAATTGAATTGATTACCGTGAAAGCCAACTAATAAATATTAAATAATAAATAATATTAATAAAACTTTAAACGGCTTAAACCTCAATATCCATTATCCACCATCATGTATCGATTGTTATCAGTTATAAATTTATAATTAATTTCAATTCTCGTTGCTGATATACAATATAATGTTTATATTATATCTGTGGCAATATCACAGAATATGGCGATGGGTACAGATTATCAAAATCAAACATATGGTTGGTTAGGTAGTTAGGTTATTAATACGTTATTTTTGGTAGAATAAAGTTGGATTAGCTCTTTAATCTTTGGTAGTAAAATAAGGACTAATAATTATTTGGATTTTGGAATCCTTTTATACTTTTATAGGAAATTCATGCCTAATAAATAAGGTATGTCTTATTCTGTTGTATGATCACAACGTAGTGATATGCGTAATATCAAGAAAATTCTTCCGCCACTTTTCAAATGCAAAACACAAAAAGGCGCCATAAAGTATCAGCCAATTAAAAGCATAGAATATATAATAATATCATGAGCCACTTCGGTAGTCCAAAAACATAACCCGCACTAACTAAGTTCGACAAAAATTTCAATTTTTTAAACTTTYTTCTCGGCATTGAAGAGTAGAGCAGATATTTTTGTGCATAGGATAGGGTTTTTTTTTCAAAATAATTTAATTTAATTTAACATAGCTATTATGGGTAACACTATATTCATAATAAATGTCTGTTGTAACAAAATTGTTATATACACAACAGGGCCATAGG